TGAGGACCCCCGCTCCCGCCTGAGACTTCCGTGCAATTTGCTCAGGAACGGCGCTCCCGCTTGAGACTTCCTCGCAACTTAGTCAGGGCCCCCGCTTCCGCTTGAGATTTCCTCACAATGTACTCAGGACTGCGCTCTCGCGTGCGACGTCCTCACAAATTATTCTGGAATTGCGTTTCGGCGCTCAGGAACCACGCACGCGCCAAGGACGCCTTCACAACGTGGTATCTTCCCTCTTCCTTCGTCCTTCCCCCTCCCCTTCCTCCCACTCTCCCTCGTTCTTCCCCTCCTCCTCTTGCAGGGCCCGCGCCAATTCCAATGGCGGGCAGAGAGATGTACGCCCCCGAAGGATTGTCCGCCCGTTCCGGTTTGCCCGTACGTCTAAGCCCGCCGGCCCCAGCAAAGAGAAATAATCCCCCCGAAAGGGGTGTGATCGAAGACGAAGAGGGCGGGTATCGAGGGTGTAGGGTATACGTGTTGAATGACTCGCGGGCAGGTAAGAGCGTACAGCCTTAAAATGGTTGTTGTTGTTGTTGTTGTTGTTGTTGTTGTTGTTGTTGTTGTTGTTTAAACTGCCTAGCGGTACCACATAAAGTGGGCGTTCGGCAGGCGGCGGTGCGATGTCTAAGAACGTGTGAAAGAGCAGATCTTCAAGACAGATACATGTGCCCTCGGCGTTTTCAACATCGTCTAAGGCCTGGGGCATGCTGTCGGCTGAGCACCGCTCCGGCTTCGACGCTGGGCTCCTGCGTGCCGCACTGGTCCAGGCGGGCTTCGATCCGCGCGAGGTGGCGCTGCGCGGCTTCGGTGAGAGCGGCTCCGCGGAGCTCGCGTTCGTGGATCTGTTCAGCGGCTCGTCGACCACGATTCGGGGGTTGCTAAAGGTGCCGCTGGCCCAAGATGCCCCCAGCTTTCCGCTCAATTCTTCACGCTTCGCGTATCCCCACCGGCTTCAGCTTCGTGGCTGCTTTGTGAGCGGGCCGGCCGGCCTGTGCCTGTTGTAGCTAATTAGCCTCGTTCGTGCCCCGGACTTTGCTTTCGCCGCCTGACCCTTGTCTCGCGGCCGCGACCGAACAAGTATCCCCACCGGCCCGTTCAGAAACCCTGCCCTTCAGAGCTGACGGGAAAAGGGACGAAGAGACACATCTAGGGAAACAAAGCGAGCAAGGGGGTGGCCTTGGAAGGCCTCTTCGGGCCATCCCCGGGTGCCGCGTGGGGGGGAGGGAGGAGGAGGAGGAGGAAGAGGAGGAGGAGGATGAGGACGAGGAGGACGAGGAGGACGAGGACGCGGATGAGGACGAGGACGAGGAGGACGAGGACGCGGATGAGGACGACACGGACGAGGACTCATGCAACCATCTAGAGGTATCCTTGCGGCTGCTGCTGCTGCTGGTGCTCTCTGGGAGTTTTTTGAGCCCTCTTGGAACCCTCTTGGTAACCCTGGAAGGCTTCTTGGGATCTTTTTGGAGGCCATCGATTAAAGAACGGGGGGGTCCCCAACTCAGCTCCCCCCTCAGGAGCCAGCAAACCGCTTCTCGGGGCTCTCTTGGAGCGCTCTTGGGTACTCTTGGAGCGGTCTTGGGGCCGTTTGGAGCATCTTGGGAGCCAACTTGAGCCAGCTTGGGCTTTCTGAACCATCTTGGAGGTCACCTTGGGCTCTCTAAGGCCGCTCGGGGGCCTCTTGGGGGCCTTTCGAGTGCCTCTTGGGGCCCTCTGGGACCCTATTGGAGCCCTCTTGGGGCTCTCTTGGGGCTCTCTTGGGAGCCCTGGAGCGCCTCTTGGGGCCATCTTCGAGGCCATCGATCAAAGGAGGGAGGGTCCCGATCGAGGCGCACCCCTTGGGGGCCACGATCCTCGTGACGGGTGTCAAACATTGGCCGGACGATCTTGGACGCTCCAACGACTAGCGGCCCCTCCCGTCCAGGTCCAGCGGAGGGGGTAGGGGGAAGGGGTAGAAGGGTTCCTTGGAAGAGGAAATAATGACATCATTAGACCACCTGCGCCCTGAGGGCTGGTGGGATATTGGAGCCCCTGGGGCCCTCTGGGCCTCGTGAGGGGTGCTCTGGAGGCCGTGGGGGCCTCCTTAGAAGTCCTGGGGGCACCTTGGGCCAGGGGCACTTCTAGCAACTCCCGAGCGATGCTGTACGACGAGAGCTCGGAGCCGAAGCGGCCCCTGAACACGACGCTGTTCTTCGAGGCCCGGAAGCTCGGCGGCGGCGACGCCCTGGGGGCGCGGAAGCCCGCCGGTCCGCGCGGGACCTGGACGTTCGAGCTCGCGGGCGTGAAGTACACACACGGCTGGGGTAGAACCGTGGTCGCGGGCTACTCCGACGAGGAGTGGAGCATCACGAGCGCCGGCTGGTGCGGCTTCAGGAGGCAGCGGCAGCTTTGGCTGACGGGCTCCGCCTCCGGGCATGCCGCGAAGCTCTGCTGCGCGAACCAGGATGTCCGCGTGCTGAGCAGCGCGTTCGCGCCCAGCGTGGGCAGGGTGGAGCTCTGACTTGGGCGGGGCACTGGCGGGGCCCGGCGGTGGCTGGAAAGAAAAAATATTCTGACCATGGCCGAGATGTCGCGGGATTTTGTCGACGCCGATCTTGGTCATGGTCCATGCCGGCTGTCGCCGATCCCCGAGGATGATCCACGAGTTTCTGCCGACCAAGAGGGACGGCGACCAAGATGGACACGACGTTTCCGCGTGCAGTCTTGGTCATGGCCCCCGCTCTCTCTTCCCCTGCAGTGACGGCGGAACGCGGCGCACGGGGCAGCGCTCGTCCTCCTGCTGGGCTCGCCATGAATCAGGAGGGAAAGAAACACACAGACACAATTAATCCTCCATCCCCCAGAAGATATGGGAAAATATGGGAAGTGGCGGGGGAGACAGAAACCCAGAAAATATAGGAACATATAGGGAATCCTTTTATTTGTGTGTATTTATTTGTGTGTCCCAGGGCCCCTTCAAACGCTTGGGGCCACGATCGGCGGCGCGCCTTGGGGGGGGGCAGTGAGAGCGGGCGGGCCTTTTCTCGGAAGGCTCGGGGGTTCCCCGGGCCTTCCGAGGAGTTCCCTAATCCTCCTCCTCCTCCTCCTCCTCCTCCTCCTCCTCCTCCTCCTCCTCCTCCTGCTAAGACAAGACAAGACAATGAAGGCAGGGTGCCCTGAGGGAAACGAGTCCTCGAGACTCTTCGCCGCCAGCGGCTGCCCGGGGCCCTCCACGGGCTCGACGGCCTGAGAGCGACCCAGGGCGACGAGCTGGTCCTGGCGGAAGGGAGGAGGAGGAGGAGGAGGAGGAGGAGGAGGAGGAGGAGGAGGAGGAGGAGGAGGAGGAGGAGGAGGACCGGCTCTGCGGGGGCGTGCGGGCCCTGACTGCGGCCGTCACCGCCCGCCCAGCCACCCCGAAGCCGACCCTGAGGCACCGTTTTGCCTTCGATATGCCCAGTGCGGGTCAAACGACGCGAAGATCGGGACAAAATCGGATCGGGATAGCTCGAAATCTCTGAGAATCGGCGGGTTTGGAGGATGTATTGGGCGCCGCGGCCGCTCCAGAGCGTTCCGGAACGCTCTGAGAGCGCTCCGGGACGCTCTGGGGCGATTTATCCCGCTCCTATAGCCTTGTTTTAGCGGGGGGGGGGGACGTCCGCGCCGGCACCGGCGCGCGGGTTCCCCGCGCCTGGTCGCGCGCGGGCGCCCTCGTTGCCACTGTTGGCGTTCCGCGCCGGCGGCCCGGCGGAAAAAGCCACCGCGCGAGGTCGCTGCGCCATGTCTCGCGAGACCTGTTTTGTTTTCCGTCGCCCACATGTGGCACCCGTAGCCCCGGCCCCAACCCCGAAATTCGGGTCTTCGGGTTATCGGTTGGGGTGCTCTGGTAGGCAGCCTCGCGCGGAGTTGGCGCGCTGGTGACCTCCGGCGAAGGCGTTCCAGGTGGGATTCTGCGACGCAGAAGCCAGTGGGCCCGACGGAGTTCAGCCTTCAACGCTCAGGAGGGAAGGAAACACACAGACACAATTAATCGTCGACTCCCCAGAAAATATGGGAAAATATGGGAAGTGGCGGGGGGAGACAGAAACCCAGAAAAAATATGAAAATTATCCCGGCAAAGTAACCTAACAGCGATGTGTAGAAGCATATCTGGAAGCATTCTCCTTAAGATTCAGATCAGAATCCAGTTGTAGAATTCTGCTGTTCTCACAGTCGCAGCATTCGCGACGACAGTCGCAGTGGCAACGGCATTCGCAATCACAGCCTCAGCCTCAGCCTGCCTGAGTATCAGCCTGCCTCACTCTCAGCCTCAGCCTGCCTCAGCCTGCCTCAGCCTCAACCTCAGCCTGCTTCAGCCTCAGCCTCAGTCTGCCTTCAGCCTCAGCCTCAGCCTCAGCCTGCCTCAGCCTCAGCCTGCATCAGCCTCAGCCTCAGCCTCAGCCTGCCTCCTCAGCCTGCCTCAGCCTCAGCCTCAGCCTGCCTCAGCCTCAGCCTCAGCCTGCTCAGCCTCAGCTCAGCCTCAGCCTCGGCCTCAGCCTCAGCCTCAGCCTGCAGCCTCAGCCTCAGCCTCAGCCTGCCTCAGCATCAGCCTGCCTCAGCCTCAGCCTCAGCCTGCCTCAGCCTCAGCCTCAGCCTCAGCCTGCTTCAGCCTCAGCCTCAGTCTGCCTTCAGCCTCGGCCTCAGCCTCAGCCTGCCTCAGCCTCAGCCTGCCTCAGCCTCAGCCTCAGCCTCAGCCTCAGCCTCAGCCTCAGCCTGCCTCAGCCTCAGCCTCAGCCTGCCTCAGCCTCAGCCTCAGCCTCAGCCTCAGTGCCTCAGCCTCCAGGCATTCAAAATGTGGCCCGGGAATGGAGTTCTGGGAAGTCGAAGACCACGAAGTGGCCTACAGTTGGCTCCGGGCATTCAAAATGTGGCCCGGGAATGAAGTTCTGGGAAGTCGAAGACCACGAAGTGGCCTACAGTTGGCTCCGGGCATCCAAAATGTGGCCCGGGAATGGAGTTCTGGGAACTCGAAGAGCACGAAGTGGCCTACAGTTGGCTCCAGGCATCCAAAATGCACGCCGGGAATGGAGTTCTGGGAACTCGAAGAGCACGAAGTGGCTTACAGTTGGCTCCGGGCATCCAAAATGTACGCCGGGAATGGAGTTCTAGCAGCGCCAAGAGCGATTCTGCGAGGATGTCCCAGGCGATTTGGGCTTCGGCGGCAGCCGCCCCGGGTCCCGCCCCGACCCCCTGAGGAGTCATGATGCTCTCTTTTGACACCACTAGAAATCTATCAGTCTTCGCTGTTAGGTAATACAGGGAATCCTTTTATTTGTGTGTATTTATTTGTGTGTCCCAGGGCCCCTTCAAACGCGTGGGGCCGCGATCGGCGGCGCGCCTTGGGGGGGGCAGTGAGAGCGGGCGGGCCTTTTCTCGGAAGGCTCGGGAGTCCCCCGGCCTTCTGATGAGTTCCCTAATCCTCCTCCTCCTCCTCCTCCTCCTCCTCCTCCTCCTCCTCCTCCTCCTCCTCCTGCTAAGACAAGACCGAAGCGCGAAACACGATCCATCACCCGAAGACGCCGAAAGCCCCTCAGCAGGGCGCGAGGGCCTCCGAGAAGCCCCGCCGCCTTCCGAGAAGGCCTTCTCCTTCTCTCTATTCCCCCCCTCGCTCGCCGCCGAGAGAGAGAGGATTACCGACACCGATGCCCTCCCCGTCGGTCTCGCATGTTGTGGGCCTCCTGGGGGGGCGCCCGTCGCCATGTGGCCAGATTCGCCCGAAGAGCGCACCCCATGAGATGCCCGGGGAGCATCGGCATGGGCACTCTTACTTCCTCGACCTCTCGGAAGGCTCCCCCCCGTCTCGCTCGCCGCCGGTTGAACGACCGACGCGGTGTCGGTGTCAGAAACCTCCTCGCGCGCCGACGCCGCGCGAACCTGCCGCAGTCAAGCCGCCAGTGGTGGGCCCATTTTCCACCACCGTTACCATCTGTAGGAGGAGGAGGAGGAGGAGGCGGAGGAGGAGGAGGAGGAGGAGGAGGAGGAGGAGGAGGAGGAGGGAGGAGGAGGAGGAGAGGAGGAGGAGGAGGAGGAGGAGGAGGAGGAGGAGGAGGAGGACCTCTCCTCATCCTCCCTTCTCCCCTGGCATTCATCTCGTAGTGGTGGTGGAAAACTTGCCCATCAGCTGGGGCCGCCCGCAGGAGCCAGCCCCGGGCGAGCTCTGCGCGACAGGGAGGGGGGTCCAGCGCCGATCCAGGAAACCCGGGCGGACTTCGGAGGACTCATGGTTTTGCTGTTTCTGGTTTCTCGATGAGAGGTCCGTCCGATTTTTTTGTGCCTCGTCTGACTGTGCGCGGGGCTGGCTCTCCCCCCCCTTGTCCGCAGCCTCTTCCTCCTCCCCCTCTTCCTTCGTATGGGAGGCTTGTTGGGGGCCCTTCTCGGCGTCTTCTGATGTGGGATTCAGGGAGCCCGTTGGGGTCCCGCTGGGGGTCGCAGAGCCGGTTTGGGCGCGATGGTTCTACCGAGCTTTCCCGAATAGGTTTCGGTTGAACCATTTTGGGGGTGCCTGGGTGTGTCTGGTGTCATGCTTGCCACGTTTCAATCTCTGGGATGTGGAAGTCCGATAGTGCTACTTTTTCACTTGCAATGAGCCCATTAGCTCGCAAACTCGCAAGCCATTCCTCAACTTAAGCGTACTGAATGAAATTCGTCATTTAAATTACTTTTATGGGTGTTGGGAGTTCGTGGTATTAGTGCCCAGGGACAACGAGGGGGACAATGGTGCTTGATACGCTCACACAGGTAGGAAGCGTTCGGTTTGGGCCGGCTCGGGCCAGTTCGGCGGCGGGGCCGTCCGGTTGCGCCAGTTCGGTTTCGACGGCGGGCCCGTTCGGGCCGGCTCGGCTGCTGTCGTTCGGGCCAGTTCAGCCGGTCCCGTTCGGGCCCCTCTGGGCCCGTCCGGGCCCGGCACCAGTCCCCACTGGGCCCCACGGTACCCCACTGGGCCCAGTGGGCCCCACTGAGCCTCACCAGGCTCCGCCGCGCGCGCCGGCTCAGCCAGACGAGGCGGAGGAGGAGGAGGAGGAGGAGGAGGAAGAGGAGGAGGAGGGAGGAGGAGGAGGAGGAGAGGAGGAGGAGGAGGAGCAGGAGGAGGAGCAGGAGGAGGAGCAGGAGGAGGAGCAGGAGGATGAGGATGAGCAGGATGAGCAGGAGGAGCAGGAGGAGCAGGAGGAGGAGAGGAGGAGGAGGAGGAGGAGGAGGAGGAGGAGGGAACATGTTGAGCAGGTGGAGGATGAGGTGGAGGAGGAGGAGGAGGAGGAGGAGGAGGAGGCAGGAGGAGGAGGAAGAGGAGAGAGGAGGAGGAGGAGGAGGAGGAGGAGGAGAAATGGGAATAGGAATAGCTACATGACGGTGTCAATAAACCAACCTCGCCCTCAGGACCCGAGTAGACTGTTCGGCCTTGCCCGAAGCCTTGGGGGAAAGATCCTTGTCGAAACGATTCAGGTACTCCCTCCTAGCATCGCTCAGGGAACGCTTTTACTCTAGCCT